TGGGGCCCGTCTCTCTCTCGGGCCGGGAGGGGGGTGCAAGGGATGCCAGGAGACCAGGCTCAGCGCCAGCGCTCCTACCAGCGATCTTGCCCGGCTGGGTGTGCGGAGAGGTGGGGAGAGCGCCCCCGGCGGCTCCCGTACAGCAGGCTCCCCGCTGGGAGCGCCCTCCCGTCTGAACCGTGTCTTTCCTTCTGTTGTCCTCCTGTGCCCCAGCAAGTTTGAGCCCTTGCTGAAGCCACATGTGGCTGTGAAGAAGGTCCCGTACGTGGATGAGGAGGGAAATCCGGTAAAGCCGATAAAACCAAACGGGATAAAGATGGAGAAGTTTGTGTTTGATGTGTTCCAGTTTGCCAAGTTAGTGGCAGAAGTCATTTATTTTTTCCTTCTTCCCTCTCTCTGTTTTGGTGGTGGGTTCTGAGGCCTCATTGGGCCGGGAAGTGGAGGCCTGCAGGGGACACAGTGGGAGCGCCCCTTTGCAGTGGGGAGTAGGGGCTGTAGGCAGGCTCAGGGAGAAGGCCAAAGGAAGCAGCCCCTGTGGTGTGAGCCTGGCAGCATCTGGGGTGGCCGCAATCTTTGGGGCTTTGTACTCTGGGAGACACCCCTGCCCCTCCTGAGGCTTCCGTCTGTCCCTCCTAAGCCCTCTGTCTGCTCCTGGCCTGGGTTTAGGAGGCTGTTTCCAGGCCAGGTGGCTGGGGGACTTCCAGGGGGTGTGGCCCTCACCCTGGGGTCCCAGGGTCTGGGCGTTTGGCTGGTGGGAATGGAAGGACTTCAAGCAGCCTCAGGGGCAAAGACGCATGCAGTGCCTGTGGGCCTCCTCCACGGAGGCGACCCCCATTTAGTCATTGGAACCCCGGCACAGCCTTCACCTGCCCAGGACTGGGGCCTCTGGGCCAGGACTTCAGGTCACTAGTTCTTTTCCACACAGGAGCTTCGTGGCCTTTGAGGTGTCCCGGGAGGAGGAGTTCTCTCCGTTGAAGAATGCTGCCTCGGCTGCCAGGGACAACCCCGCCACGACTCGGCGTGCCCTGCTCATGCAGCATTACCGCTGGGCCCTGCAGGCAGGGGCCCACTTCCTGGATGCCTGTGGGGCCCGGCTCCCTGAACTGCCCAGGTGAGTGTGGGCCTCAGCATGCCCTCCAAAGGACAACGGAGTCCTGTTCCAGGCCCCGGCCCCAGGGCCTTGCGGGCTGTGCTGCGGTCTGAGCTGTGGCGGGGGCTCGAGCTCCGCACCATGCTGAGTACAGGTGGCCCGGTGCCTTGCCCGGCCATACAGCGGCTGCCTGCAGCCTGGGGCCCAGCCCCTCAAGGTCAGCTCAGGGCCCGGGGTGAGCTTGGTGGCTGCCACCCTTGCTGACTCACTCATAAGCTTTGAAACCAAGACCTAGCCATGACACTTGGAAGATAGCAAGGCAGGTCACTCTTCAGGGCTGGCAAAGGAAAGGACGTGAGGTTTCTCTGTCCTCAGGTATCTGCAGCCAACACCTGTATCTGGCGGCCCAGGTGCTGTGTGGGGGCCTGTGGGCTGAGGGGTGTTTTCCTGCCCAAATAAGAGCCTGTAACATGGGCAGGGGCAGTGTGCTGAGGGCCCTGAGTGTGCAGAGGCAGGGGGTATAGCCGAGCAAAGAACTTGGGGAGCGGGGTCTGGCAAGCACAGCGCAGGGCATGCACCCAGGACCATGTGCTGACACACGGGTTCCCGCAGCCTGCCCAGCAGCAGAGAGCCCCCCGCCATCTGTGAGATCTCGCCCTTGGTGTCCTACTCTGGAGAGGTGAGCGCCCACTGGCCCCACGTGGGTAGGGCATGCATGATTGGGGCGGGGGGGCTGGGGAGAAGTGGGTGCTGGGGTAGAAAGTCACAGAGATCTGACTCAGTCTACCTATAGGGAAATAGTTGAAGTTACAGAGGATCTTCCGGGACATGGGGTGGGTGACGAATCAAGAGGCCCTCATGGGTCTTGGGGGGGCCAGGAGGATGTCAGCTGGGGTCAGAGTTTGGGGTTCTGCCCAGGAAGACTTTATGGGAGCCTTGCTGAGGGAGGAATGCTGGACCCAACCCTCTGAGAAGATCTAGCCAGAGCTTGCCCAAATGTCTCATAAGGGCCTGGGTCTAGAAGTGGCATCCAACCACTGCTGCTGGAAGCCTCTCTGGCCCTACCCCACACTAGCTCGAGGTGAATTTGTACCCCCTTAAGGACGGAGAGGTGAATACGAGGCCATCATGACTTTGTTGTTTCTAGGGTCTGGAGGAATACCTGCAAGGCCGGGAGTTCCGGTCCCCACTCATCCTGGATGAGAACCAGGCCAGGGCTCTGCAGCCCTGACTCACTCCCAGAACTGCCAACCCTGGGGACTGAGGGGCAGGGACACGGGTACCTCCACCAGGGTGGGGCCCCTCCCATCACCAGTACCGAGGACAGAAATGACCCCAGGCTCCTGGGGACCAACGAGGGCTCTTTGTCTGCGCTCCAGGCTGTGGGGTCTGGGCGGGAGGCAGAGGTGTGGCATCCTCGGTCAGAACAGAGGGCCCCCTGGAGGACCGATGGCACATCTAGCCCTACACGCACATGCGCTTGCTGAGGAGTGCCAGCCACTCGAGCTTTCCTGCAGATGCACAGATGAGGCAACGAGAGGGAGGGGGGCGGTGTCTCTCCCTCACAGGGCGCTGTGTCTGAGGTGGGGCCCCCTCCCTCCCTCTCTGGCAGCCGAACCATACCTGCGGTGAGGCTGGGGGAGGGTTCACAGCCCAGCCCCCCAACTTCCCACCACCCCCCTCCCACACACAGCCTGCACACCTAAAGCTGGATCCTCTCGAGTTCCCTCAGACGCCTCGGCTCCTCGGCCACGTCCACGGTTGGTCCAGGCTGCTGAATTGTACGTGCTTCCCCCAAGAACCAGCAGCACCAACGCCAGTGGCCTCACGTGGTGGTTCATCAAGCTGAAATATAACCAGCCAGGGAGCTCCAGCCCTCAACCAGCTTGCCAGGAGCTTCCGACAGATCTTGGTGCTCACGTCCTCCCGTGCTCTCTGGAGGGAGACCCAGCCTCACCTATGGGTCCACGAGCCCTGCACTGCACCCCCGCACCCTGACAGAGGCTGGGGGAAACCCGCAGGCCCAGGCCCTGAGCCCCCGCCTGGCCTTGCTGCTCCGGGCCCCCGTGCCTGCTTTCCCCTCCGGAAAGCAACACAGGGGTGCCAACCTCCCCGCTGACGTGGACAGCGGCATGAATTGCAGCCTGCTGCCAAACCTGGTCACCTGCCACCTGCCCCCAGCCCCTCCACGGCAGCCCACACCCCCGTGCAAGCTGTGCTTTCCCCAGGGGGAGCACGTTCCCTGGACAGCGGGTTCACGTGCAGCTGATTCCCCCAGCAGCTTGCGGGGGGCGGGAGACACGTCCATGCACCCTGACCTGGGCCAGAGGGCAGGGGAGGGCCGCGCCCAAAGCCCAGGGGAGGACTTTGCTCCCACCCAGGTTCTGCCAGCCCTTGGCGAACCTCAGAGTTGGACCGTGTGCCTTAGGACCCTCATCCCAGCTGCTCCACAGGCAAGCAGAGGGCCCGGGACAGAGGAGGGTCGGCCGAGGTGGAGGTCCGGGTCCAGGGTCCTGCCCACAGCCGCTGCTCCTCACCGTCACAGCTGAGCAACCGTGAAACCTCTTTTCTACACTAGGTGGGAAAGACTACTGAAGCAGCTTGCTTTGAAAGGCACGGTTCATTTTAAAGTAATTAGAGCTTTGCAGCAAGTTGCAAACATAGCACAGAGAGGTCCCCGGGGCCCTTCACCGTGTCCCGAGGGACTGGCAGCTTACAAGATCGTGGGGCGCCACCAAACCAGGAACGCCGGGAGGGCCCCGAAGTGCTTTCTCGCAGCTGTGCGTTCCGGTGCCGACTGGGCACTCAAGAGGCAGCACGGGCCCCTCCCCACAACGCTGTCTGTCCCTCAGGCTACCTTTAGAGCCTCTAACCCCAGACAACCGATCACGACACCCCTGGCTTTTGAAAGACTGCCAAACTCTCTGATTCCCCACAGAATGATGGTGGGGGTGGGGGTGGAGGGCGGATTTCCAATAAACTCAAGATGCCGTGATTGACCCCTGGCCTGGCGAGTGCACTTTCTGACCGGCACATGTCGTGGGAACGACGACCTGGAGTTCCCGGCTCTGTCCGTGCAAAGGAACAAGAGTCCACACCCCGAGCCGCTCGGGCTCCGGGCTGTCCAGGAATCCCCTCGTGCTCCCGCCCAGCTCTTCGCCAGGGTCTCAGGGCGGCCTGAGATAACCCAGTGGGTCAGACACCCGGGGCGGGGGGGTGCCCAGAACCTGTCCCCCGAGCCAGCGCTCCAAGGGAGGGCTCCTGCACTCTCAGCTTGGGAGCCTGGTGACTCACCCTCCAGGTCCCACCGTCTCCCTGCTAACGGGACGTGCAGGGAAGGAGGCATTCGGGCACGGCTGGCGCCACCAGCGGAGCTGGGCGTGGGGAGAGACCTGCGGCGGTGGTCTCTAGAAGGGAACGGGACGGGAGCGCACGAGGCTCTCTCTGGGGCAGGCTCCGACTAGCCAAGGTGCCGAGCAGGACGCGCTCGCAGAAATGCTGCCGCCGGGACTGCGGGGCGGCGGGCTCACCCAAGGAGCCTGGCCCGCAGAGCGCCGCGCAGGGGCCGAGTTCGAGGTGCGGCGGCGGCAAGCTCCGGGCAGGGCTCGGAGCCGGGGAGACCCTCGGCGCTACGGGCCTGCTCCGCCCTTCCGCGCCTCCGCGGAGCGCCGGCCGGCCCCCGGGAGACCGCGCCGAGCCCAGCCCAAGGCGGCGCGCCGGCGGGACAGCCGTGCGCAGGCGCGGGCGGGCAAGCGCTGAGGGCGTGCGGTCACGGTGCGGCCGTGCGCCGGCGCAGTGGGACGTAAACACGCGGGCGGGGCAGGCGAGGGCGGGCGCAGGCGCAGTGGGGGTTAGGAGGGCGCGGCGCAGGCGCATTGGCCGCGCACGCGATGGGCGGGGTGTTGACCGCGCTGCGATGGCTGCCCGCGGGTGTGGGACCAGCGAAGCCCCCGGCCCCTCTCAGAGCCCGGCCTCCTGACGCCGCCAGTGGGCGGGGCCGCCCGGGCCGCCTCCGCCGCTGTCATGTATCCGACGCCGCCGCCGGCGCCGCATCGGGACTTCATCTCGGTGACGCTGAGCCTCGGCCAGAGCTACGACGGCAGCAAAAGCTGGCGGCGGCGCTCGTGCTGGAGGGTGAGGGTCCCGCCCGGGGTCCCGGGGTCCCGGGGTCCCGGGGGTCCCGGGGGTCGCGGGCCCAGGGGGCGATGGAGCCGGCCCGCCGCGGTCTTTGGGGCCCGAGCTCCGCGGGGTGGGGGCGGCGCGCGGCTCCCCGCGCTGAGAGCTGTCCCTCGGGGCGGCGAGGCAGGAGCCCAGCCTGTGCCCGCTCTGGAGTGTCCCCAGCGGTGTCGGGCTGCGGGGCGTCCGCGCCCCACTTCTGGGCAGATGCGAGGTCCCGCCGGCGGCCGGAGCCGGCGCGCGCCGGGTGCGGGCATCTCTGCACTGCCCGTGCGGCGGCTCGCCCGTCCCTGGCGAGAGGGCACCTCCCCCGGTGCGGAAACCGGGCCTGGGGAGTTCCTGGTTGTCCCCTCTGAACTGGCAGCGGTTGGACAGGTTCCCAGTTGTGCCGCTTTCAGTCAGAAGCCTCATTCTCCGTCCTCCCCCTTAGAAATGGAAGCAGCTGTCGAGATTACAGCGGAACGCGATCCTCTTCTTGCTCACGCTTCTGATGCTCTGTGGACTCGTGTCCTACATCAGCGTGGCTGACCAGTGGAGAGGTATCGGCTGCACGGGTGCCTTAACGTGATCTGTGCGTGTCACTGAGGGCTGACCGGGCAGAAGGGTCTGGCAGTCCACCTTAAAGGTCAACGGGTAGAGCGTTTTTATCCACGTGGCCGGAACACGGATGAGAGTTTCCCCTTGTCCAACTGCTTCCTTAGTGTCTGGTGTTAAGTCCCGGCATCTCCATCCCCTCTGCCTCGCAGAGAAGTTGAGGTCCTGAGGTCGCAAGCTCGGTCCAGATACACCCCGTGAACTTCCTCACACGTGTTCCCGTGTGTCTGGAAAGGCCCGGGCAGAGTTCTGGTGAGCGCGTAGAGAATCCTGGTGAATTTCTCTGTCAAGGTCCTGGCTGGCGTTCAGCAGGAAGGCTGAGGAGCCGCTGCAGGTGGCTCAAGCCAGTGGCCCGCTTGCTACCCTTCGTAGTCCCTGGAAGGGAAGAGGTTAAGGCCATGTATTTGTGGGGCGTGGATTGGGGTTAAGGCCCAGAACTGCCAAGGGCTTTGAAAAAGGTTTGATTCCCTCTGGCCGTCCTTGGGTTCGTTTAGTGACCTTCCCCGGGTCTCACGACGTCCTTTCATAAGGAACCACGCCTGCCTGGACGTGCTCTAAGACACGCTTTGAATCTCCTCCAGGCTGTGTGGCCTGTCGGGGATCAAACCAGTTCTCTTGTTTAGCCGTGAACGGCCGGTCAGCAGAAGAGCGGAAGATGAGACCTGCAGATCCGCCCGTGTTGCCAGCTCCTCAGAAAGCAGATGCTAATCCAGAAAACTTCCCAGGGGTTTTACCTCAGGTACTTTGGGTCAAGTACACGTGGGGTCATCGCCGGGGTCCGACCCGCGGGCCTTTCAGAACAGTGTGTGGTGTTTCAAGCAGACGGGGAAGAATTCTTTCTCTCACCATCTGTGTGACCCTCTTCCGATCCCAAGGGGGGCTCCTTCCTGTCCTCTGGAGGAGGCGCCTCCTCCCGCCTGCCCTCTGTTGAGGACTGGCTGCTCCCGGGCCCCTGCCCTCCGTCCCTGGACCCGGCGCCCTTCCCTTGCCACGGCGTTCGAGGATGAAGTGCAGGAGTCCCGGGGCCCAGGCCCGCGACAGTGTTCTCTCCGCCTCCATCCACGGGGACATGTCCTGAACCTCTCTTGCTACCTTTAGGGTCTGTGACAGTCTGGAAGCATCCCGGACCAGGAGTTTAACCCGCCATCCAGGGCCACGCCAGCCCGTTGGCGCAGTCTCCATGGCGGTCGGTCAGGGCCAGGAGATGGCGAGTCAGGATCTCCTGGCCAAATCTGCGTGTTGTGATGAAAAACGAAAGGAATTTCCTCTGGGGCCGTGTGCTGCTAGCCAGTTCACACAGTCCGTGGGGTTGGGTCTGATAGGGGAGCGTCTCAGGGGAAAAGGAAGAGCAGCCCGCAGGCGATCGAAGTGTTTTCACGGGTGACTCTTACTTTTATCTAGAAGCCTAAGAGGCATTTCCGACGGCGACCGCCCAACCTGCAGATTCGAGCCCCCGGTAGAGACTCCGAGGACCGGAGGCAGGACGACACCCAGCGGAGGGACGAGGCAGCAGGCGACGCTCGTCGGGAAGAGGACGCACAGAGAACAGCGGTCAGGTACAGGGAGCGCCAGAGGAGGCTGGGCGTTTGCGGGAACGCTGAGGCCCGCGTATCTGACGTTCTCTGGAAACCAAAGAGGAGGAGAACGAGCACAACGTCTAGAGTACGCCTTGCTTTCAAAGCAGGCAGGACCCAGAGCGGGACCCTGGTGGGGGCGGGCCCCGCCTTCTGCTTGGTCCTGCCCGGAGTGGAGGGCAGCAGGGAGGCCCGCCAGGTGGCGGGGACCTTGGGGCGTTTGCATCTCCGCCCTCAAGCTGGCTGATTGCTCTTCCTTCTCTCCCCGAAGCTGGAGGGGAGCGGTGATTGAGCCGCAGCCCGGCACCGAACCTCCTTCGAGAAAGGCAGAGGCCCCCCACAAGCCTTCCTCACAGGCCCCCGGGATTCAGAACCAAGCAGGTAAGGCCCCACCGGCACCTGTTGGGCCTCACCTGGACATTCTGACGGAGAGGGTGTGCGGACGCCAGAGAGCCTGGCAGATGACGCGGGGCTCCTTGGTGGCCCGTCGCTGTAGCCACGGGCCGCCCGTGTGGGCAGGAAACTCGTGTCCCCGTTTCCCGGCCTGGGTCTATGCCACGGGACATGGCAGGGGGAGGGCGCCTGGGGAATGTGGAGACACAGCCGACCCCTCTGCGTCTCCACCCAGGCCGGACGGGCTCTCCCGGCAGGTCTGCGGCGTCTCGCGTGGTGGCACCCGTGGTGGAGGGCCTTCTGGGCATGGGTGCTTTGTAAGCCCCGTGCAGCCTGTCTGCTTCGGATCTCACGGTGCCCTCTGAGGTCACCCGCCGGTCGTATCCCCATTCCACAGATCAGAGAACCAGGGTAGGCTTGTCACGGCCAAGGCCACGTGCCTGGTGGAGCGGGGCTCGCGCCAGCTCGCCCAAGTCAGGGCCCAGGCTGTGGCCCTCTGGTCCCAGGAGCCGTTGCCTCCGAAGGAAGGGGGACGAGGGAGCCCGGACCCGGGACGCGCGGCCCCGGGCACGTGGGGGAGACAGAGTGATCATGCGGCTTGGAGGACGCGTGTCAGAGCCGCGGACATCAACGCGGATGGGCCTCAGACCACGCCGAGAGAACACGTGCGGTGCAGCCATGGACGCGCACGGTTCTGCCCACGCGGTGACTCTGTAATTCGTGCCCCATCCTCCCAGGTGTGGAGAGCAGAGACCTTCTGCCCCGCATCAGTCACGAGGGCACCCCGGAAAGGCTACGTGGGGCCTCGGGTGCATCTGCTCCACATTAGTTCCTCTTTGAAAATGCCCGGGGTGAGGAGGTGCGGCAGGGGCACCTGGAAGATGGGGCGCTCCCGTCCGGGTCAGCGGCAGCCGGCACGCTCGACACTCCCGAAGCCAAAAGGGCACGGTGCGGCCATCGGGTGCTCACCGCATGGTCCCCGAGCCCCAGAGGGTCGTGGCCGCCGGGCCCCTGGTGGAGGCGGACGGGCCCGGGCCAGGCGGACGAGAGACCGTGCTGTCCTTGCAGGCCCCGGAGGCCTCGCCACCTTGGCAGACGTGTCCAGCCGTGAGGACCCGACCTTCGGCACCATCGACTGCTGCCCCTAACGCTGGACGAGGGCCCCCCCTCACCATGCCCCATTCAGCTTGGGGCTGCACAGAGGCCCTGTGTGAACCCTGACCGGGGCCGGTCCCGGTGACCTGCTCTCTTCCTTCCAGCTTCCCCGAACGAGCGTCAGAGGGCCGTGATCGATGCCTTCCGCCACGCATGGGCCGGATACCGCAAGTTCGCCTGGGGCCACGACGAGCTGAAACCCGTGTCCAGGTCCTTCAGCGAGTGGTTTGGCCTGGGCCTGACGCTGATTGACGCCCTGGATACGATGTGGATTTTAGGTCTGAGAAAAGGTACCTGCTCGTTCCCTAGCACACGGCCAAGTTCTCGGGTGACTCTAGGGTGAGCGAGCGAGCGAGCGAGCCGTGAGCGGGAGGGGGTAAACGCTGTCGTTTCCATCGGGCGCTCTCTCCCTTCGCGTGGGTGACGGCGGCGGATGTGCTGGGCGTGGGCAGTTGCTTTGCCGCTTGATGTCGGGCGCCCAGGGGACGCTCAGGACACCCACTGCGGACGTGGGCCGCGGCGTCCAGGGGCGCTTCCAGCCGGATCCTCTGTTGCAGCCGGAAGGGGCTCTGTGGCGGGAGGTGGCACGGGATCCGGTAGGCTCTCAGTGCCCCGGGTCTCTCCCTCACGGCCTCCTTACGCCTCGCAGGTCGGGTGGCTTGGAGATCGCGGGTCTTTGGTTGTTTCTGAATTGATAAAGTCCGTTTTCCCGCTAAATTACTCACGCGGCCCTTTGTACCGCGGTGTTCCACCGTCGACCGCCTGTGCTCTCGAGCGCACGCCGGCTCCCTTTTCTCTGTGCGTGTGAGGACGCGAGGGCTCCTTCCCCGGCTGCAGGACACGACGTGGCGAGCCTGCGGGAGAAAGAGCGACACGAGAATGCAGGGGGCCTCCCGAGCGAGAGGTCATGGGGGCGCACTAGGACCACTGACCCGCTCCCCTCCCCACGCTCTTCCGTGCCACAGAGTTTGAAGAGGCCAGGAAGTGGGTGTCTAAGAAGCTGCGGTTTCAGAAAGACGTGGACGTCAACCTGTTTGAGAGCACGATCCGCATCCTGGGCGGGCTTCTGAGCGCCTACCACCTGTCTGGGGACGACCTCTTCCTGAAGAAGGCCGTGAGTGTCCCGGCGCCAGGGGGACTCACGCCTGCGGGGAGAGCAGTCCCGAGCGAGCGTGAGCGTGCGAGCGGTTGTCGCTGGGCTCCCGGGACTCGGGGAGGGCGGGGGAGGGGGCTGTCAGTTCCCAGTTCTCCGTGCTCCCATCTCCGCGCGTGTGCGTGAGCGGGCATCGCGCTGCCTGTGGGCACCGCGACTTGCAGGGAAACTCTCTCGGAAATTCTCGAGGCCAGCTCGGTTTGGCTGCCGTGGAGTGTCGAGGCCACGGGAACCCAGCAAAGTCCCGTGTCCACGTGACTGGACGGAGGTGGGGGACGGGCTGGCGTCGTGGAACGGAGGCGAGGCTGCCGTGCGGCAGGGAGCCTTGATTCCTCGCTGTGTCGTGTATCAGGAGGATTTTGGGAATCGGCTCATGCCTGCGTTCCAGACGCCCTCCAAGATCCCCTACTCCGACGTGAACATCGGCACCGGGGCCGCCCACCCGCCCCGCTGGACCTCGGACAGCACGGTGGCCGAGGTCACAAGCATTCAGCTGGAGTTCCGGGAGCTCTCGCGCCTCACGGGCAGTAGGAAGTTTCAGGTACGGAGGGGCCGGGCCGTTGGCCGGGAGTGCGGCCGGCTCGCCACAGGAGGTACGGGCTCGCGTGCGGGTCGACCCTGGGCCGCCCCGAGACCCCCCTCTCGTTTCCTTTCTCGTTG